TGCAGCCATCATTGTTGTTTGGCGGGCCCAGGCTGGATTCGAACCTGCCACCTTAGGTGTATGTGGCTGGCGCCTTAGCCACTTGAGCCACAGGCACCAAGCCAAGAGGTAAATTATTATATCCAAGTTATGACTAAGTGTGTAGCATAAGGCGAAAGTGGGACTCAGCCACCAAACTTCTACAAGGCAAGGTCTTGGATTCACTCTAATTCTATGAGAGACATCCTGTGTGTTGATCTCTTAAAAGGATGCCACAGTACTCCAAATCATAGTGGGGTTTGCTCAGAGCTCTTGGTTACAAGTGACAAAACTTAACTAAAAACCAATTCATACCTTTTATATGAAAGCTATAACCAAGTAGCCTAAGAATATGGGGACGGGGGAGGGAATGGGTGGAGGGAAGGGGTTTGGAGGGATCACTTCTGAGGTTTATCTTATAGGGGTACAGGTGAATCTTTCTAAGAGTAGAATGTGAATATTTTAAAGCAGTAACTGAGAAAATGACATGAAGGCTGTGTTGAGCAGTTTGATGGAAGTATTTCAGATTGCATGTGAAAACCCCACACTGTACCCCAGAAGTGCATTAATGTACATAGTTGCCATTCAATAAAAAATAAATAAATAAATAAATAAATAAGAAAACAGCAAAGAAAAAAAAAAACAATTCAGAAAAAAGGGGGAGGGTAGGTATGGGCTCACTTAATGAATCACAGGTTGGCAAATATGGAGTTAACCCTAAGATCCACTGGGTCAGTAGAAGGAAGAATATGGTTTCTCATACTTTCTTTCTCATGGTCTCTGTATTCCCTTCGTTTATGTATATCTCCCAGGATGATAAAACAACAGGTATTCACTAAAGTTTCACATTTCCTCTTTCTGCTTCTTTGGGACTAAGTTCCTATTTATGATAGCTGTAAAGGTTAAAGAAATTCACATAGATTAGACTTAGGAAATACATCATCCAAATGTCATATGTGGACCTTGTTTGGATCCTGACTTAACACACTAACTTTTAAAAAACTGAGATAGTTGGAGAAACCAACCAACAAAACTATTTAGTGGCAGTAAGAAATTATTATTAGGCCAGGCATGGTGGCTCGCTCCTGTAAGCCTGGCACCCTAGAGGCCAACGCCGAAGGATCACTTGAGCTCAGGAGTTGGAAACCAGTCTGAAAAAAATGAAACCCTGCCTCTACTAAAAATATTTAAAAATACACTGGATTAAAGACTTAAACTTAAGACATGAAACCATAAAAATACTAGAATAAAGTGTAGGGAAAACACTTGAAGAAATCGGCCTGGGCGAACATTTTATGAAGAGGACACCCCGGGCAATTGAAGCAACATCAAAAATACACTATTGGGACCTGATCAAACTAAAGAGCTTCTGCACAGCCAAGAACACAGTA